TGTAACATCAAAACAATTAACAACTATGACGGAGAAAATTAAAACATTTTTCAAAAAAACAAAGTTAAATGCAAAATTTATGAATGCTGGCAAAGGATACAAGTAAGGTTTATCATAGGTTATAACTTTCTAACATAGAGGACAAAAGCTTTCAGCTGCTTCTTGAAATATAATGAAATTTCAAGTTAAAATTTTTTTCATTATAATGTAATGTTTATTTTCCTTTTTGCAATAATTCATTCTTCTTGCATTTTAATTCATTTCATTCTCTTTCCAATTTATATATTTCGCTTGTTTTTTTTCTATGCATATTTTTGTTGATGCATTATCTTGTCATAGGAATTAATTATTTTATTCATGCTATTACATTATGGCGTAAATTAGTATTATTAAAAAGAAGAAAAACAGAAGTGTTACATAATGTAAAAGAACTTACTTTAAATACCTTGGAATTTGCCAAAACGTGTGGTTTCTACTATAATAACAAATTTTAACCACTTTTTCACCTAGCATAAAAATGTTTATTACATTTTTTTCTTCTGTTATTAATGTCAAGTAGTAATATAGTATGAAATTGTTATACTTCTATGGAAGGTATTATATTATAGCAAAGGAAACATATTTCATCAAAATAAATGAAAGTAGCTTACTTATATCAAATCACATATTTACCTACAAAAAAAAATTTTATGTAATTATATAATTAATTTAATTTAATTTGATTTAAAATTATCCTATATAGATTAACAGATTCAACAAGTACCACTCCATCTACTTCAATAGTAGAGCCAAGAAAAAGAATAGAACCTACAGAAGAAGCTAAAATTGCTGGTCAAGTTACTTTAGCAAGACTGGAAGCAAAGGAATGTAAAGTAAAAAAATGTAGAACGTAAGTCACTTGTGAAATATATATGAATTTTTGTTTGTAATTCTGAATATTCATAGCATATTAGAATATTTACTTCTATCCAGTCTACTCTTCTATTATTGCACACTAACTCTCTGCAAGAATAAGATCGACTGCATTTTCCACTAACTTACGAACAAAAATTTGCACAAAATTATAATTCATATAAAGTGTTACAAATTATTTTCTTGTGAACTACGAACGATCGTGGCAAACTTTTATGTTTGACGTTTAATAACGTTTAATAGTTCACAGGACTCTTTTATAGGATAATTGAGATACCATAGTTCCCCTCTCCTCCATTTTCTGCTAAAAAAAAATAAGGAAGTAACTTCCTAGTTCTCTTTAAATGGAACCAGCTTGGAATTTAAAGGTGAAATATGTATGCTCTTAGTCGATTCAGACAGCAGAATAATGTTGCTGTACAGTCAGACCATTATTACATCACAGCTAGAATGCAATTACAAGGGTGGAACCATCTTGCTTAACACTATCTGACTTCATTATATATTTCACATTTTAATTTTTAGCCTGCACATAAATGTTTGCATTTTATGGTAGTTTATTTAAAAACAAACGATATTTATAAACATTTTATTTTATTACATATA